CGCCCACGTACAGTCCCATTCTGACCACGGCACGCACGGCTGCGTTCATGCCCTGCAACACGTTACTGCTACTAATACGAAATTCTAGTTATGTCAGTGCTACTAATACGAAATCCTGGTAATGTCAGTGCTACTAATACGAAATTCTAGTTATGTCGGTGCTACTAATACGAAATCCTGGTAATGTCAACGATCTCAGTTGATGTTCTTGTGTTCAAAAGAAGCTCGTCAAGTTTCCCTGTCTACAAACTATACAAACAATAATTCATTTTGTTTTACGACTTAAAGATTAAAATCCGTGTTATATCAATTCACAGTTTTCACATAGGCTAGTAAAATTATTCTATTCGTTACCAGAAAATGTTATATTTCATTTTTTCAACTTTTCTGAACATCCCCAAAGAATTGGTAGTCAGGAAAATCAGTATTGATTAACGACTTAACTAGAAATCTCTTCTCAATGCAACCATCAAACAAAAGTTTACAATAAATGCCTCCGGGGACTCTTATATAACTATCATATATAGGTAGTTAAAGTTCTTAACTAGGTCAGCCAACCACTGTGGATTTTTCAGGCTAAATACGTCCACAAATCACGGACGAGAAGTTTTAAAAGTAGAGAAGCAAGTTTTAAAAGTAGGGCCTGGGCTCCTGATTTAAAAGTGATGCTCCTGATTTAAAAGTGATGCTCATGATTTAAAAGTGATGCTCCTGATTTAAAAGTGATGCTCCTGACTATAACTGAGTTACGGAACAACCATAACAAGCAAGGAACCTGGGAGTCGCCGCCGCTGGTGAAGACGGCGATGCCCTTGCCCTTGTATTTGCCGCGCTCGAGGACTCGACCCTCGGAGCCCGGGATGGGCAGAGTGGCTTCAGGTTTAGCTGCCATGTAGTCGATGAAAGCTTGCCACGGGTCAGAGGGAAACTCGGGGGGAGGTGGGATTACTTCCTGAACAAAAAACAATATTTTAGGAAAAAATAGAAAGGACTAGAAAATAAATATGCCAATGACTGCAACATGAATTGCAATGGACGTTATACTAGATAGTCGTAGATCAACGTTAAATTGGTGGGATGATGGGTGTAGTCACTTTTTGAATGCGAAGCGCAAGTTATATAAGTGGAAACTCTTGGGAAACAAGTTACTGACAAAACTTTTTCAGAGCCTATGAATTAAATTTAATAGCAATTCCGAGGCGATTTGGCTTTTGAACTTTCCTATACATTTAGGAAGAATTTGGGCACTTTAACATTCGGCATCATTCAACAGAAACTACAATAAAAATAAAAGAACAACACTCAAGTTGAAAAATTACCATTTGAGAGCCTTGAGATATTAATCCAAGCCTAATAATAATTAATACAATACGAAATTCGGACCTCAACGGGAGCAGCAGATGACTGATCAGATGCGGGCGCGTCCAGGGGACGAGGCTGTAGATGTTCCGGCGAGCAAGCTTCGCTGGAGCCTAGAATGAACCGTCACAGTTACACTCCTCGTACCGTCAAATGGGGTGACTTCGGCCACCATTACAACAGAAACAAATGGCAGCAAAACAAAATAATAAA